TTAACAAGAACGGTGTAGTTGACGTCAATGGTGGACGAAGGTACAACAAATTCTTTTTTGACATATGTACATGCATGTTCTGAGAACTAATAATTTCTCCGTTGTCTTAATTTTTGCAGGTACAACAAATTCGAGCCTTTCATACTAGCTTCCCAAGCAGATCAAGTTTGCTTCATTCCATACCCTCAGATTACTACAATGGGAATAAGCTGGTTAGTTGTTATCAAAGTGACACCTCGAGGACGGATAATCGAGGGAGAAGAAACACCATTGCAAGAAGAAAACACCAATGAAATCGAGGAACCTGAAGCAGAAATTGATGACATCCTACTCATTGATCCGCATAATCGTGAATACGAAGATGTCCCTGATCACTCAACGGACGACGGTGTTGAGGACGAGTTTTCCGAAAATGATGATGTTTCTACGGATTATGAGAATGTATCCGAATGAATTATGTATGTTTTATAAGTTTGTTTAATAACAAAAACCAATTTCAATTAAGTATGTTTTATAAGTTTGCTTAATAACAAAAAAAGAGTTGAATTACGTATGTTTTTAAGCTTGTTTAATAAAAAAAATGAATTTGGGATTTAGGTGTAGAAGAGGTTAGGGAATTACAAACCCTTTCCTTGTAAAGCCCTAGTAATATTACTAGAGCTTTACGAGGAAACAAAATTCCTTATATATACACGAGCAATCCGACTTCTCAGTCATAGTAAGTTCCTCTCCATATTCTCTTAAGGTACTCTCTAGTTCCTAGTTAGGTGATTAGATTAGGTGGTTAGTTTAGGGAATTTAGATTAGGTGGGTAGTTTAGGGAATTTAGATTAGGTGGTTCGATTAGGAAATTTAACTTACGTTTGTTTAACTGTTTTTAAAAATTATACAAATTTATACGAGAATTAATGTTTTCTGTTTTTTTTTAAATTTAGATATTAGAAAGAGCAAAGTTGCTGCTGATCAGTCCAGGAGGCCTGTAGATCAGGGGATTCATTCTGCGGATCTATTCGGGCCCGGTTCGTCTTCGCCAGCTCCCGGTGGTTAACCTTCGGGAGTTTCCGAGACCGAGGGAGGTTTTACGGCATCCC